AAGCAGGGGGGAGAAAAATTTATATTCTGTGTAATAAATTTCTAAAGTTTGTCTACAGCTCCATAAGCTTTGCTGGCGGAGGCAGGATTTATGAGCTATACTGCAGCCCATCAACAGAGGGTGCTGTTCTCGGAGTGGCTTCATCCAGTGAGGAGGCAGACGCTGTCCATTCTATATACCGTCTATGGTTATAACACAGCAGCGTTTTATAGCAACATTGTGCTACTTCTCAATAACAGACTGATGTCAAGAAGAACAGACCGTTGTTGAGGATGTGGCTCTAATCACTCTGCAAGACTAACTGTATTCATATCAGTGTAAAGAAGTGCAATTAACATAATTCTGGGACAAAATCAGCAGAGAAGAAAGGAGAGGTTTAAGGCAGGAAACATGGAGGCTACCACAGAGACATCTACAAAATCATCGAGGTGAATGAACACTTAATGGAAAAGGGACACAGAGTTCTTACAGATTGATAAATGAAAAAATAAATGTATTAGACTTTGTCAGTGACAAGAATGAAAAACTCTGTCAGAGGCTGGTTTAATTCACACAAGCCTGTTCTCCTTGTTTTGTTCACTATCCGTGAAAATGTTCAATTTAATCTGAGTAACAACAGCTCAGTCAGCTCATTTTATGAAGAGTACAGCTCAAACTGTGAGAGAGGCGACTGCTTTCATTGGAACATATCTAACCATCTAAATCAATGGAACAATTCACATGAATACTGGAGAGTAAAATGATTGATGGACCCAGGAAGCAGCAGGTTAATCAGCATGATAATATGTATCAGGAGTATGTTTTGCAGTGTACGAATCCCTGTAAAAGGAGATTGGGCCTGTGTGCCATGCCACAGCCTCAAGAGATTATTTTTACCTGAAGATTTTGGATCCAGGTTTTGGTAAATTGGGTAGCTTTATTACTTATAACACTAGGAGAGGTACCAGTTTAAAAAGTACTGTATGTTTCCAGTGATTGTCTCTAGATATAAAGGTTTTGTCTAAACGAAACCTTGGTGTCTGGAAAACACCATGTTTGACCTGTGGTGATACTCCTTACTGAGAAGTTGCCCCCCTCTTAAAATTGTGATAGGTCTCACCAAAATCCTGAACTATGACTCCGGGTTAGAATAAACCATTTTGGGCAGTGCAGGTAAAGAAAAACGTTTTTATTAATTTTTCTTTTTTCAACCAGTTTTTTATTCCCACAAGATTCTATTTTTCTTGGATAACTGTGTGTAAAGTCAGAATTTTGTCCTTTTTTCCCTCATAATTCTGAATTCTTGGAACTCTGAGATTTTTGTCAAAATTGAACTTTTCTTTTCTCCTCACAGTTCCACTTATATATAAAATATATAATTTAAAATCAAAATTAGAATTCTAAGAAATAAGTTAACTCTGAGTTTGTTAGGATTCATGAAACGTTTTAGACCAAAAAGTCAGTGGCTTTATTGAATTTACCCTCAGGGATAGATAAAGTTCTTCTTTAATATACATATCAAATTTCATATCACATCTAAATTAAATAGGCAAGACACGACACAGCTGACTGATCTTCTTTTTTTTAGTATAAAGCCCATTGGGGATTGCTCAGCTCAAACAGGTAGAATAATCATTCAAATCAACTTCCAGCAAATAATTCACCTGCTTCTTTCAAAACATAATTTTGTTGTTTAGCAAACAAAACAAAAAGAGGCTGAGGTGCTTTTATTATCTCCTGTGGACCCAGGATGTGAACACATCGACAACATGAACGGCCTTCTAACGACCATGTTAGAAGCCCAACACTGCCATCATGTGGAGAGTATCAGTACTGCAGTTTAGACAGCAGCTTGTTCTTTAACCCTTTCTTGCCTTTTGTATCATATTTGATACATACTTTTATGATACTTCTATCAATCAATATGATCAACAAATTTCTAAAAACTACCTTAATACAGTCCGATAAATGATAAAAATGTCCTCTTGTGGTTTATCAGTTTCCAAAAACATCTAATGTGTCAAACGAGATAAATAAATATATTTGTTAAATTTTAAGGACATTTTGATTTTTTTGGTTTTCAGTAGTAAGTGAAATAAACATTTCAGCTCCAAAGGATTAAAATTTTCTGGCCATAACCCGTGGTTTCAGGCATTAAAGGGTTAAATGATCTTTCTCAACACAAAATTTGTGTAATACAGACTGTGTGGAAAAGCTCAGGTGGTTGAGTGTGTCAGACATTTAGTGTAGGGTTGATGAATCAAGTCAGTGGCTCCTCCTCCTGGCCTCATGTAGTGTCCACACTGATGTCCTGACTGTCTTCCATATGTTCATGTATCTGGATTAAAATGCAAGACACAGACAAAAGCATCTCACAAATGATCATAATGTAAAAACTTGGTTTATCTTGAATCAAGGTTGTACTGATTTACAAGCTGGGCCTGCAATGACACTCAGTGCGGTAAGGAGGCATAGCCTGGCAGGCCAAGCTCAGGGACCAATTGCCCTTAACATATTTCCTGAGTTAACAAAACAAGGGCAGAAATTAGCCAATCACACATTTCAGCACATGTCGTTTTAGAATTCTTCAAAAGTTTTTATTGAACAAAAGTATTTAAATTCTCATCACGTTGTTGGTGATACAGTACCATAGTTTGATCCTAACGATTCATATATGCACCTCATCTTATTTTGAATATATACATACAGTGGAGACAAGAATTAAATAACAATGCTCAATAACATTCAGATATATCATATAAAAGCTGAGGACCCCATGATCAACAACACTTCCATTGGTAAACAAATGCACACAACAAAAGAAATGACAGGGTAAGTGTTTGGTAGGGCTAGAGTTTCTTTTTTCTCTCTCTCTTTTTTTCCTGAACTGGATGAAAGAATATTTGGTTTCCTGATAATAAAAGACAGCTGTCAATCTAAATGGAGTCCATTGGCCCCGCCCCACGTGGTTACTGTTGCTACGTTCTCGTATAACGCTCAATTCTAACGACAACGGTAAATTTATCAGTCAAAACTAAAAAGCTAATTTTCATACGGAGGCAGACAACGGCAGACATCAACAAGAAGCTTTATTAGCTAGCAAAGCGACAAATTACGAGCTCTACAGCTGTAGAAGTAACACGGTGTCACTGTAGTAAGCTAGTTACCACGGCATGCTAACGTCCTTCCTCCTGGGTCCTGCGCGCGATAAACATATATTTTTTTTGTAGGACATAGGGGAAATTCCTGCCTTTTTCGCCTCTGATTGGCTAGAAAAGCTGGAAATGTCATCACAAGCTAAAGCCAAATGCAGGCTGCCGGCTCTGTACAGCGAACAGAACATTACAGAACATTATCGCACTTCTGAATCTCCTAACCCTAACCCTAATCCTAATTTTAACCCTTACCCTAACCCTAATTTTAACACTTACCCTAACCCTAGCCCTAATCTTAACCCTTACCCCAACCCTAACCCTCACTTAACCCTAACCCTAACCTGACAAACGATGACGTTTCACATCCATATGAAATAACCAATCGGAGCCCAGCACTTCTAGCCAATCAGAGGCCAAGGAGGGCGGGACCTTTCCCTACTATCCTACAAAAAAAAAATCGCATCATGCACTTTCTGGAGACAGTTGCAAAGTTATGATTGGACAATCACTCCTTGGGGGCGGGACTTACGAACAATCAATAGGTGTCAAAACATATGGCTGTTCTACTTTTAGTTCAATATGAGTCTCAGTCAATCTATAGTTTAAATTTTGTGTATATTACACTGCTGCTGCAAAATTCTCTTTAATTACAAGATTCACAAACTAATTTCTGACAAATACTACATTAGAGGGAATTACTTTTTACCATTCAGATAAAACTGAGCAGACCCAAGTGTTTTTACTCAAAAAGTTTTACCAAAAATGTTTTTATTATTCTTCAGTCAGTATCCTCATATAGCTACAGACACATACTGGAGAACAGAACAGGAACATGTTCAATGTGACACAATATAAAGCATGAGCATAGAGCTACAAATGAATGCCAAGTATGGTGAGTGCAGTGCAGACCTGGAGCCAGTAGTATGGGTACAGGGTGGCACATTTGGTTACATTAATAAACATTCAAACTCTACAGGAAATCAGAGGTCTCCCCTATTGCCTTAATGCTTCTCCCATTATCTAGAAGTAGTACAAGAAGTCTTGTATCCAGATTTTCAGTAACATCAATACTACTGATGGCTGAGTCTATGGAGGCAGGAACACGAAGGAGAAGTGAAGAAGACACAAACGGGGAGAGAAATCATGTAGAGGAATGATGAAAATAAGGAGAAAAAGGCAAGAGAGTGATTCTGGTCACTTTGTGAAGTCACTGTATGAAAAAGCGATGATTCAGACCTCAGGAGAGGAATTAAATAAGCTTTAAAACAGAATAAGACAAAACAGAAGAAAAACTCTGGACAAGCATTCTTTGTCAAATCAAAAAAACGAAAATAAAACAATGGCAGGCGGCATGACGGAACACAACGTCAAGAGGAAGGTCCCTCAGAGGTTAGAGTCCTCTCTGTCCTCCTGTGTGGATTAAGAGCAATGGTGTAAACTAAAATGTGCGTGGTAGTATATGGACATTAAGCAGGACATCCAAAATAGAGCTTGACACCCCAACAAAGGCCTCAGCCGTTCAGTTAGCAGCTGCGTGGTCAATACGAACGTTTGCACATCCAGAAGAGGGAGGCTTATTATGCTCTCAGGATGTGTTCATGAGTTTCCTTACACAGTGCACACCGTTTTGGGGTTACTGCCCATTTGTAGAGCTAAAAGTAGTGTCACCTGATCACCACTGGAGGGCGTCAAATAAAACGTTAAGTGAATGACGATCTGAATGGAGCACGGACGCCAAAGCGACCAAAAGGGTCCGAAGCTAAGGCTCGAGTTAAGACAGTCAGGGAGTGGCATTAGTATCATGTGTGTATCATGACGAGTGTGTGTTTGTGTGTGAGATCCAGTGTTGGCGTGAGCATGTGTGAATCACAGCAGTGCTTTGACCAGGTACAGCTTCTCTCCGTGTTCGCTGGTGAAGATGGGGGCTTTCTTGTAGTGCTCAACTAGTTCATCCATGGAGCTGAACCTGCGCTGCCCGATACAGAACACTCCATCCATCTGCTGCACTTTAAAGTGCTTATTCTTACCAACCGCCTTTAGGGACACGGAGAAATCATTGGGCTGGAAAAAAGAAAGAGAGTGACATTTATTAATATTTACAAGCTGGTAAACCTTCACTTAAAAAATTACAGACAAACTGCTTGAGTCCAGCAGGTGGCAGTGTTTTCTCATATTTACAGCCCTGGGCCTACGATAGTCAAACTGCTGCTCGAGACGGCCTCATGGTTCATCTTCTATCAGGACAATTCAACATTTAGAAAGTCTGAAGTTCCTCTGTGGACCTCAGACCTGATGCTGTTTTGTAATGTGCAGGTTAGTTCCTGCTTTTTTTATTTTGTGCACAGGGATACCCACAGTTCTGTCACACTCTCCATTTTTCCAGGGATCAACAGGTGGCGGTACTATTTCTAAATATTAATAAATGTAAACAAAGCTTTTCAGAGGGAAATTGCACAGTCGTCTTCACATAAGTGACTACTACACTCAGCATACAGAGGTGAGCACCTTTAGATAGAGAGAGACAAGAAACTTGAGGAGAGAGGAGGGGGAAGACATGAATTGACTGTGGCTGCCATTCATGGGAGGGGTGCTCTACCAACTGAGTCAAACCAGCACCCAACAGTTTCCCATTTTGTACGTTACTTCAGCATCAGCACTGTTATACTATGGTAGCACTAAACTTTAACTTTAATTTTAGTCTGCATCAGCTTCTACAGTAGCTGCTTATTTGTCTCATACAGTGTCTGTTAACAGTCTTTAAAGCTCCTATGTGGAACTTTCAGTTTAAGTCACTTTTGGCGCCTCCTGTGGACGAAACAGTCATACTTAATCATTGTCATCTGACAAAGTTCTCCTTCAGCTGGCTTTTGATGGTTAATAACTTTTTGTGAATATTTAATGTGGAGATTGGAAAATTGGGACCATTTTTTCTGCTGCTCAGCTGACACCTACCCCCTCACTACAGTTTGAGGCAATAAATATTATAATACAAAAATCCTAAATCTTGTTGCCAATTGTGTTGTTTGATATGAATTTCATCCTATTTTATAAACATAAAAAAACTCCTTACAGGAGCTTTAATATCATCACATCTTATGTATTTTAACATACAATACTAGTTTAAGAAGGATGGAGGTCTTAAATTGACTCAGAACTGTCATGCTCTGGAAACATTGAACTTTTCATTAGAGCAGGGGTGGGCAATTAAGTTTTATATGGGGCCACATGAGAAACCTGAATTACAATAACTTCAACTTCAAATCAGGGGGGTTCACACATACAGAAAAGCAAGCCCAAATAAGCAACTACGCACCCACAACTCACAAGTTTTACAAGCGACTTCTGAGAGAAACAAGCCTCAAGTCTTTTATAATAAGCGGACTTGGCAACTATGAGGCCTCTACAAATATTTTGCCAATGTTTAAACTTGTCTCTGTTCACGAATGCAGATCTAGGATGTACGCACATGCGTCCAAACGGAAATAAAACAGCGGCTGGGTTTTCAAAATAAAAGCAACACACTCATATAGCATGTTGATGATTTGATTGACGGGCCTCACGAAGGGGCGGGCAGGGATATCCAAAGGGCCAGATGTGGCCCCCGGGCCGCAAAATGCCCAGGTCTGCATTAGAGTGATGAATGTGAAAGTATGTTTAGTGTCTAATGTCTCAGTGTCTCCTCTTGTTAGGAGCATATGTTGTAGATACTTGAATAAACTTGAAGCAGCTTTGAAAGTTGATTCTGACACCTGGTCGTATGTTAGAACAAGAGACTTGATAAAAGAGTCATATTCAAACCATCAACAAACAACATTTTTGTGGTTCTCATGAGGGCAAAAACAAGTCCTGCAGCCTTATAAGTGTTGTTGACTTTGCAGCTTTATTCTGCTCACGGGCCTTTAACTCCTCTTCTTCTTCCTCAGTTATGTTAAGCCTCCTCAGAGCAACATCCTAAATGAGGCTGTTTGTGCAGCAATAAAAGTGCTATCACAGGGCTGGTTTTTAATATGCAGTGCCTATGACTGGTAATTCACCATGAAATAGTCAGCTGAATACAGACTTTACTGTTTGCCAGAGGAGAGTTTTTTTTTCCCCCTCTCTGAAAAGCTCGCTCATCACACTTTGTCTGAACTACCAAACACTCTGGACCTTATTTTTTCTTTCCCAGAACACCTCTGCCATGATCTCACCACACAGACTCACCGATGACTCGCTGTCTCGAATGAGGAAGTCGCCCTCCTCTCCCCTCTCGTTGAGGATACTCTCAGCCTGGAGTCTGGTGATGTTGCCGTAATACCAGTCCCTCCCGGCGAACTTCCCTGAGCGGGCCGGAGCCACGAAACGGTTCTGCGGGGAGCTCGATGTGGAGGAGGGGAGGCTGGGCCGCTCGTCCAGCACCATCACATAGTTTTTAGGTACCAGGCCTACCATGCCGCGTGAGTTCTTACATCTCCACCACTCAGGGTCATTCTCGGGTTTCTCCACCACTTCCATCACCTCGCCCTTCTCAAAGTTCAGCTCCTCCTCCGTCACAGAGCTGAAGGGGTAGAGAGTTTGCACCAAGTGGAGCACTCCTCCACCTGCACGCCCATTGGCCAGTAAAGTCCCTGGAGAGCCTCCCGAGTAGCCCAGGGAGGAATCCCCGTCCCCTCTTTCATCTGCTCCTCCAAGATCTTCTTGCACATAGTTGGAGGGGAACCAGCCTACGCGACCTGCCTGGCTGCCCCGCCACCATCCGTCACTACATTTCTCCATCACGGTGACCTTCGAGCCCTTGACCAGGGTCAGCTCGTCATCTCTCTCCGGTGTGTAGGCGAACTTGACCACGGCGGGGATGTTGAGGTCATAGATTCTCTCAGCAGCTCCCCCTCCTCCACCTCCACCACAGCCATTGGAAGGGTACTCTGTGTCAGAACTCGGCGTCGGGGAAGCATCGCGGGCGCTTGTCTTCCTCTTGGTTTTCCCCAAACCTGCAGTGTAAAAAAGAAATATAGGACAGTGGTGACACACTTAGAAATCTTAATTTAGAACCTTATTTTTCCCGTTTGAGTTTCTTTCATTTAGAGCCAAAATACAGCTGAGAGATGATCACATGACACGGCAGCAGAGGAAAGGTTACCGCTCATTCAAAAGGCAAAGATCAAAACAAACTACAGGAGCAGACTAATCAGAGGACAACCATCTGGTGCAGCTGACATGAACAAAAAAGGTCTGATAGGTAAAATCTTAAAGAATAAATCTATTTTTTTATTTTGTGCTGCATCTGTAAACCTAACATCACCCTCTGCCTGAGCCGAAGACAAAGATATTAATTCTACACACATCAAACCAACACTGAATCTCACTCAGATCTCTACCCTCTTCTTATCTTGTCTCTGCCTTTTCAAAACGCTCTGACATGTTCATCAGCTAAATGTTAACTCTGCCGTCTGTTTAGTGTGGGCAGGAAGTGCACAGCTGCTATATCAGAGCTTTTTTCCACTGGAAACAGATGTCTGCTGTGTCTGCAAGCAAAACTGATACAAAGATAAACTGAATTTTAACCAAAAGAGTCAGTAAGCAGACTGTCGGCTCAAAACAATCACCTGGAAAAGATGTCGCCTCAGTTCTTTTGTTTTATGTTTAATCACAGTAATCAGGTTTTACTTAAAAGCACTGAAATTACTCTAGTTAGAGACTGAAGCAGAATTTGGTCGACAAAAAAGATGAAATGTTTTTATTTTCGCTTATTTAAGTTCATTTTCAAAGTGTTCAGAGTGTTTATGATGCGTCTGAAGAAGATGTCAAATCACGAGTAACCAGGTTTAATTATTATGATTTCAAAAATGATAGTGATTTTGAATTCTGTCATGACTGAACTGTTTCAACAGATTTACATTTAAACAGTTTGAGCCTAAATCTGTTGAATATCAGTGATGATGGAGCAGTGGTGAGAAGCAGCAGGGATTGAAGGCAGTTTTTAGAAAGCAGGAAGTGGCCTGTACTCCTCAGGGAGAGGAGGAAGGTTAGGTCAGCAGGAAACTAATAATTGCACTCGTGGGCCCTCAGAAGCACAAAAACTACTTTGGAAAAACAAAGGATAGAGGATTTGCTCTTAGAAACCTCTGTGGTGTAGCACCGATCAATACTCCTGGAAATAGAAACAACAAAGAGGTGTTCACATCCACCTGCACTGAACACCACCTCTTTTTACTCAACGCCAATGAAAGAATCTTTTACTTGATATGCTGTCGACACTATCCGCTCAGCATCAACACGACTATACTCATCAAAAGGCTGAAAATAGTTGGTGTAGACAGGGAATGAAAAGTAGAGCAGGCTCCGTGGGCTGGATAATGACGGGCACATCCAGGAACAAAGTCAGCTCCTGTCTCACCTGTCCCTGACTTTTTTTATTCGTGTACTTTCAAAGACGTCTTTGAACGCATGTTTGCAGCACACTCAAAACTAACTTTGTGAAGTCTCTCAGCTCCAACACAGCCAAACAGGTCTCCTCTTCCAACTCCTGTTAAAATAATCATGATCTCCTTCACAGTGGAAAACATTTAAAAACGTTTACTTGACAGTTGTGCTTGATGTGGGCCTATCTCATGTGTGCTGTTAATGACTGAAGTGAGTTTCTTGACAGCTAATCACACACTTTTCCCCCCTCCTCCGAGCCTGCTGAAATGCCACAGAAATGTCACCGCTGAATAGAACATTTACATTGTTTGGGAAATTGCTGGGTTCACGCAGAGTAGCATGAAACTTGTTGGCAGAGAGGAGAGGAAGAGGAGATGGAGAAGGAGGAGAAGCTGTGAAAAAAAGACGACGAGGGGTCCCTTGGCAGCTGTTTCTCACACGCGCAGTAGACCGAGCATATCAGAGGCCACAGCTGACAAAAACGCAAAGAAGAAGGATGAGACAGGAATAACAAGCAGATCATGTTTATGGATAGCAGCGCGTATTGTACATATCTGATAGCTCTGTGTGTATATGTGAGTGACAGGGAGCTTTGTTGACTTAAAGACAAAGACGAGGCTTGACTCTTTGTCTATTTTATCTTTCCTGAGGGATCACCTGGAGTAGGCCTGTCGATAACAGTGAGACACACTCCCTTAAGTTAAGCAAAACACCGCAACTCACTCACACACACACACACACGCACCTTTCTTCTTCACTCATTTCCACTTCAAGGCATTGGCCTGCTGGTTACAGCAGCAGCCGGCTATATTCCCTCCTCCCACACATTCACTCCCAACCTTCACCTACCTCTTCATCATGAGGAAGGAGAGGAGATTTCTGAGCCCAGAGGACTGGTACTCAGAGGGAAGTGAAGTTGATGAAAGCCTCGATGTCGGCATGTTGCAGCATATTGCTTCACTGTACGGCTTTCAGAGGGTAGCACTGTACTAAATGAGTCCACACTATACAGTTATTAGATATGTGTGTGGGGGAATTCATTGGGGGGAAAAAAAAGCACAACCTGGCCCTTTAACGGAGCATTCGCAGTGTGTCTGTGAGAGAGAGAGAGAGAGAGAGAGATAGAGCTGTGATTTTAAAGTGAATGAATCTGAGCTGGTGGCCCTTTGATGCCACATAGTTTTCATCAAATAGCAAAACAATTAAGTCCCTATCGGATTGTTTTTTTTTTTACTACTTAAAGTGTTATCAGTCGTCTTTAAACTGTGATTATGAAGTTTTTGGCCAAAATCACATTTCCTGTGTCGTTTTCAAGGACGTTTTTTCTGCAGAGCTCCAGCAGATCATTAGCAATTCGCCTCTGGGCAGAGACAGCGATGCTCTGCACACTTCTCCTCATGTTAGCTTGCAGCCTAACATTGCCAGTGAAGTAGAAGAAACAGGTAATATAAGAGCTATTCAGCTCCCGGACATGTCTTTAGAGACATGATGAAAGTTAATATCATATTTAGCTTTCTTACGAGCATTTCAATCCACTAACGGAGACGCTTGTTCCGCGGTTGTTCTCTTTATTTCTCCGAGTCTTGCCTGGATAGCGGGGCTCTAGGGGTGGAGCTTGGATTGGTTACGTATGACATCTCACTGTATCTGAACCTGCTGTCTGGGTCTGCCAGAGATTCACAGTGATCTAAATGAAGAAATACTCAGAAATGCAATTCTGCACTTCTTTTTCTTATGATATGTCCTCTTGCATCAGAAAAATGCCATATGAACATGTAGACAACAAGAAAAACATGATTTTCATCAAAGTGGGTCTTTAAACATGAAAATGCTTGCATTACAATAAAAATAGCAGTCTAAAGACTATTTAGACTGGTTCCAGATGAGCCTAAGTTGCACTTTATCAAAATGCCAACAGGTCTTACACACCAGGGGAATGAAGGTTTGATTCATGGAGGCAGAAATGGTTCACAGTGAAACAACCAGAAGAGCTGATACCTCTCAGAGATGGAAATATTAGCAGAGGGGGTTACGGCCTGATTCATACTTGTGGCCTACAGTAGCCCACAGCATTGTGGGCATTTCTGCTGGTGTGCTGTTTTTTTTCTGTGCCGCTTCAAAATTACACCCCCAAGACCAAGTATTTGACCAAAGTATGTTGCCATGGCCTAGATTCAGGGCAGAAATACACATCAGGCAACATCATTAAACGACCAGTATTAACTTCTTCTGGCTGAATAAGCAACAGCATTTATACATTTATACAGAGTTAAAGCTATTTAGGTTGAAGGTTATCGCATCAGGCTGGTCAGGTGATTGTACACAGGCTTTTAGGACACATAAAGGCAGTCTGTACTAGCAGCAGAATCATCAATCTCTCTTTGGGAAAATGTTGAACATTTTATTGTTTCTTTGTTTCCTCCTTAAAGTTGCTTTCCGCAGCAATGCAGAAGAATCCATTCATCCTGCCTTGTAGCTGCTGGATTATGTCAGACTGTCCTCAAGTGCTGGACAGACGGAAACATCAGCAAGCTCAGCAGATGGTTCTCAACATTTCTGTGATACTTCTCAGCCCCCGGCTCTAAAAACTTTAGTTCTACTTTCGAGAGTATCTGAACAGAAACTTCTGAAAAAGAAAAGAGACCTACACTCGTCTTTTTCACCAAACGTCACTGCAGGCAAAGAGAGAGAGAAAAAAAGAGTTGTGGAAAGCAAACAGACAGAGAAATAAGGAGTTATTTCCTGAATGTTTTACAGCTGTCACACTTTAAAGGACTTGGAAACATGTCAACACAGCACAAACTTGAGATATGTGCTGAGTTCTGATAGTCTGAAAGTGAAGGTGAGAGAGAGAGAGAGAGAGAGAGAGAGAGAGAGAGAGAGGGAGAGAGAGCACACCCTCTGCAGATACACACATGATAGACTTTTCTTGGATCATTGATAATCAGAGGGATAACAGTATCAGTATCATTGAGATTTTAAATTCTTGTTCCTTGACAAATCTAATCTACCGATGGAGTCCAAAGAGGAAAAGGTCACACAGTGAACTGAGAATTGGAGTCAGTATTTTCTATATTTGCCCTGGACCACTACAACACCAGACGACCCAACAAATCCCTATAGCTTAACCCCAAATACCAATCATATTTCATGAGGGGAAAATAATGAAATCTTCACCCCTGTTACCTGCCAAGCCGAGTAAAAAACATCTACAGACAGGATTTTGAAGGCATTACAGAAATTTAATCTCCTATGGGCTGAACCAGGCTGTAGAAGCTACAGACTCTTCTCTGCAAAGCTGCATGACTGCTAAAAAAACGGAGCTACATGACACTTAAAATGACTGATTTAAATGGAAATTCCTGGATAGAGGTGACTGCAGGTGTGGGGGTTGTTTTTTTGACATAGGGACAGGACATGCTGCTATTAAGTGCCTCATACTCTCCCACACACTCATGGCTGTAGAGCTCTCGTGGAAAAATAAATAATAAAAACTCAGGTGGATGGAAATCAAACTTCTCTCTGTTTTCTGGCCCAGTTTCAGCGACGAGAAGGACCTTCTCTGCATCCTTTTTCATCCATTTCAATGTTTTTATTTCCTGTGAGAGGAAACTGGGGCACAAAGCAGCGTGCAGCCATTTACAATTCAATTCTGCCTGGATGGATGTCGATGACACAACCACATCCAGGCGAAGCAAATGAGGAGGAAAAGCTGGAGATAACAGTAATCGCTGACTATCTGCGAGCTCTATAATCACTTTGTAGACTCACTGAAGACCCGGAAGAGGGAGTAAAAGACCCAGAGACTACAGACAGGATGAGGTAATCACACCCTCAGCCAATCAGGTTCTCCATTCAAGTGTGTAAGTACGTTTCCATTAGCCTCTGACCTCACCTATCGCTCATCACCTCATCTTGAAAATGTTCTCGCCTATTGAATTTGCTCGGGCTTTTAACACTGAAGAGCTGCAGACTGGAAAGCACACTACTCCCGCTAAAATGGAACTAGGCCATAATGTAGCAGACCGCGATCTAATCCGTCATTCCAGGACAACCATTAGGCTGCTCATTTCTCCACTAATCAATCCGCTGATCATAGATGAGCAGAGACACGCAGTGACAGAAAAAAGGGGGCTGAGGGGCATAATATTGGAGATGGGGGGGTGTGAAGGGGGGAGCTGTGTGCTGTCTGTGCGTACAATGAGTGGTAGTGAGGGTGACAGTGGCAGGCTGTGCCACGCTGGCCCACATAAAGCTGCAGAGTTTCCCCCTGAGGGCTGATACCCACAGAGCCGAGAGACACGAGTGCTATAGACCAGATTCTCTTCATATCAGTGGACCAGCTCTGGAATACTGCTGCTTTCAGGGACACACTGCTACTATTCCTGTGACTTATAAACCTGCTTATCGTTCTGTATTGTTAGAAACTCTGCCACATGTTGCTCCTTGCATCCCATTTCGTTTCCTCTCCTTTTTTTTTTTTTTTTTGTTTGTTTGTGTTTTTTTTCCTCCTGTTTTTTATTTTGTTTTTTTGTTTTTTGTTTTTTTTTATTATTATTTTTTTTGTTGCTTTTCTGTTTGAGGACAACAGATGAAAATTAGCCTTAGCTAACTCCGGCTGGTTTACAATGAGAATAGACTTCTTGTATCATGTCTTCTTCTCCTTGTCCATGAACTGGTACTGTCCTGTCTAAATAAATAAATAAAAAGAGCTAAATGGCGATAAAAGTTTAAGAAAGGTGTATTTCTTTGCCAAGCTGTGTTCAGTTATTTCTGCGCTGTACAAAAGAATCTTTATTCCTTTTATTTTCTCACTGGATTTAAATATCAAAACCTTTTTCGCTAAGCGCACATCCGTAACTGGTGCCTTTTATTCTGTAGGGAAAAGGTTAAAGACACGCTCACTGGATCATGGAGGAGCCGTGTGAGTCATCCACTAACAGATCTGACTTTATGCACGAGTTAACTTGATTAAACACAGTTTGAGTCCAAAAGAAACATGCATACGCCAGCTGAGTTTCTCCTCTGTGGATATCTTACTATGTTTTCTTTCTTATTAGTTTGTTACACCGGGTATTGTTTCCTGCATTTCAGAAAACATAGAACATATCCTGCTATACTTCCACTGTCTTATTAAATGTCATTTTATTCCTGCCATGACAGAGACTGATTGGTAAATAAACCCTCAGGTTATCGTGTCTCGGCGAAATCTGCAGTATACACACACACACACACACACACACACACACACACACACACAGCCCCACTCGTGGGTCTGCAGTCATGTCTACATTCACAGTCTTCTGTATTCCAGTCATGACCGGGGATCTAGAGACAGTCTGCTGACGGCTGAGGGCTACAGCCAACTCAACATGATCCCTGGAGCGCTCAGTGACAGCTCCCAGCCTGGCCGGAGACACGGTGAGCCAATCATTTCACTTCTGAGACAACTGGCTGAGGCTAACAGACACGCACACACACTGACCGCTCTTTATGACCACAACTTACCCGTCTGAAAGAGCAGGAGGAGTTGAAAAGGAAGTGCAGAGATTTTCCATTTTTGCCGAGAATAATCTCAACACACAGTATTGACCTTTATACTGTAATTCAGAGTGGAACTAAAATCCTTCTTACCCAGTGTGTCTTTGATGTTCTTCACCAGCGAGCCTTTCTTCAGGCTGTTCTTGCGCTCCACGTAGTTCGACGGCACATACCCTGTCTGGTTGGCGGTGTTGCGAACGCGCCACCACGTCTTTGAGTCGTCCAGCAGGAAGAGACGCTCATTTTTACGGATGTCAAGTTCCTGGTCCTGCTGGGCCGTGTAGTCCCACTTGGCTACAACAATCACCTCCTCTGTCATCTTTCATGGAGTCCTCCTGTGGAGAAGAAGAAGAGTAGGACGAGAGGTTAGCCGAGGAGCAGCGTTCTTGATAATCACAGAGGGATGCACAGCAGCTTCAGGGCGAGGTAATAATGAGGAAATAATGTGGAAATAGAAAAAATTCCAAAAAGAGACACAAATCCTGGCAGGATTGCAAACACTGACATATCTAACAATCATTTGGGAGCAGATAAACTTGTCATGAGTACTTGGAATAAATAATTATGAGTGAATAATGAAGTCTTATTGATTATCAATGAGTTACCAACCAGATCCTATCAGTGATTTTCACTAAGAAAAGACACAAACAACTATTACTATATGATACTAATATTGTAGCCTTTAGTATCGTCCGATACCGATATTGATCCAATACTGGCACAAACTTGTGCATGACAGGTTTTGCACTCAGCTGCAACGTCTTTGTTGGACTTAAAAGAAAAATACTGCCACACAGCCGGCATCAGTCTTACTCCTTGCTACTTTGTTAGTCCCTTGGTACACACTGTTGTTGTGATTGTGTGGACTCTGCACGCTGGATCCAGGCGCTGCTAGATGTCGGTGTTGGAGTGGAGTCTGGAATGGACTGCTAGAATCGGAGTGCTGATATTGGAGATTTTAGAATCTGCTATTTGTTTTTTGGCTGATATCAGATCGATTATCAAATATTAATATTGTATCGGGACAGCTCTACTAACTGCAATTTGAACCACAGTTGGTTCGGGATTCATTAAGAGTAATTTTGGCATCACTGAGGAAGCCTGACCTAACACACCTGATGTGCTGTTATTCCTAAAGTGCAGGGTAATCTTAAAGTGAGTGTGTAAAGCTCAGTTTTCCGGTGACGAGTGACAGGTCATTACAAAATAATCCATAACCATCCATGCACTCCACTCTTAAACCGCTTATCCCAGCTCACATAGGGCATTAGAGAGGATCCACCGTGGACAGGTTGGCAGTCAATCACAAGGCTATATTACATAACCTGGCTCAATATGGCTTTGAAATTGGCAGTGGCATTTTTAGTGCCTTAAATGGTAATAAAATTCTGTAAATCCTTGGATTAAAATTATGGAAAGATCTCAAGTTGCTGACCACAAAATAACCCCTCAGAGAATTATGAAGCAGAGGATTCACATCCAAACTACAACAAATAAACATTCCTATTATGGATAATATGCACATTATTGTACATATCAATTCTTTAGTTTTTCAAATAAGCTGTTTTCAAATTGTGTCTTATGTGCAACCAACAACTAAGACTCTTTGTTTAATGAGGCTGATGTGAATAAAACAATCAAAAGTCCTACTTTTAAGAAGCAGGAGCAAAAAAAAAGTTCTTTATTCCTGGTTACAACATGACCCATCAACTATTAAAACAAGAAATGATTTCTTTTTTAAATAGACAATCCTTATTGCAGTAGAAAATCACACCCTGAAAGACGACACTGAGCAAAAATATATAAATAAAGCAAGAGAGAGTACAGACTTCACTGCGCTGAAGTGCGACATTCAGTCCAAAAAAGGCACAAAAACACAAAATAAATCAACATGTTTGATATGCAGTCTCTCTCTAACACACACACACTCACATGCAGACACACACACACACACGCATACACACACACACACACACACACACACACACACACACACACACTCACATGCAGACACACACACACAAGTTAAGCCCTTGCCTATTAGTTTCTGAGACAGACAGTGAGCGATTACATGCTCTATTTCCCCGGGCCTTAGGTGAGGTGATTGGACAGAGGTTTGCAGGACCACCTTGACTGCTGAGGGATTACACGTATCTGCTCAGGAGACAGCTCCACAAAAGAAGCGATTGTCTATTTGGAAATATGCATGAAAGGATCAGGGGGAGAGAAGTTTAATGTAATCTCGGCCATCTCCATTTTGAGAGAAACTTCTGCGTCTGCTATAAACACATCTCCTGGTATGAGGACTATCCCAGCAATCCAGTTTATTTTTAGCTCACAGCCAAGTTTACAGGCTGCGGCAGGAAACAAGATGACTGGAATAAATAAAAGAGGGAAAAAAAAGGTTGAGATGAAAAGAAGAGAGGGCTCCCTGAAGATAAGAGTGAATTCTTAGATAAAGAATGAATAGTTATGTCATAAAGACTTTTTGTTTTTGCTTTCATTCACTCGGAAATATCAAATAAAACTATCCACTTCATATAATCTCAACTGTGACTTTGTAGTCTTATGAGTTTAGTTGTATGTAGGCTTCAATTCATGTCAGTATTATATGATTTTACAGTATAACAATAACATACATGACGGATCTCTTTTATAGGAGATTTTAAAAAGACAGAAATAAACTACATAAATAGAGGCCGTGCTGTGAATAAAACCCCTGCTGAGTCATAGTAAAAAGGACGGATGCATTTATGAGAAAACACGTGGGTGATTCATGCATATTTTACATATGTGCACAACATCACAGTTTTCTACCACGCACACAAACACACACACACACACACACACACTCACAAGGAGGTTAATGCAGCCACAGACTTAGAAGATGCTCTGGGACTGTGTTTTTTTCCTGTACTGTTAGTGTCATTTACATTTTATTCCTTAATGAGAGGGCAGAGCCACAAACGAGGATTATGACTCATGAGAAGCAGAGCTGCTCAAATTAGACCGAATAAAAGATTCCATTACTGGGGGAAAGACTGATATCTCCTGCGGAAGCTGCGTTTTATGAAATGCAAATGGAAGCCCTCTACAGCGCTGGCTGGGTTTTCAACCAAAGATATTTAATTCCACTCCAATTAGGCCACAAGCACGGAGAGAGTGCAGCCACCTCTGAATACATTCTTGCAGTTTGAGTCAGAAAGTGAAGCTGCGTGTGACACGCTGCATGACAGTGTCTAAGAGCTGCAGTCGAAATTGAAGTGCAACAGTTTGTACAGTAAAGAGCAGCACTCTGTGAATGTGCCTCTGCTTGCCGTCACTAAAGCTGTCAAACTGGATTTTTCTTCACAGGCCAGGACAGGGACAGCAGATGAGCGGAGAGGAGGGGGGAGTTGCGCAACATGCAAACTGGGAGAGTTTATGTTAAGTTCACCGTAAGTGAAGTTACCCAACTTCCCAGGATTTGACAACTTTTACCGCAGCAGAAGGAAGATGGTGGAAGGTCAGTCTGACATGCGGTATGAGCTGAAAACACAGCAGCTGGTATTCTTCTGGGGCTCAGGCAGGAGGAGAGGAATTGGCAGGTTTATGACAAGATGAGGGACGGTGACGTCAACTCTTGAAGGAGACAGGAGGTATGTGAACGTGCTGCGGCCTCTGTCCGCCTCAGGCTGGATTAGACGAGGCTTCTGCTTTACCTCCTTTTTATTGCATTTGTTCCTCCCGGTGTGGATGGATGGTTTAGCAAATGCGATAAGATCAGCAGAGATGCTTCGGGGAATTACTGCCGTCACGTTTGAGATATTGAAATATAAAGCAGATCAGAAGTGTTTGATGGAATTACAGCCTTTGTTAGCCTCGTCTGGGAATCTCTGCTTTTTCATTTTCCTGTTTTACATGTCAAAGAATAAAAGGAGCAGAGAGCAGGTTTAGCTCAGAGATTAGATCAAATGCCCCCTGTACAGGGGGGCTTTAGCGCTCAAAGCACATGGCCTGAGTTCAGATCAACCTGTGGCACTTGGCAGCATGTCATCCCTGACCCTCTCATCCCAGTCTTCTACTCTCGCTCTTAAATACAGGCATCAAAAGCCTAAAAATAATCTCAATAAATACTCACCTTTTTGTTCACAGGTGAGCCAAAAAAAAAATCATGAAGAAAATTTTGAGATAACAGGAGGTTTAAATTCCCAAAGGGTGATTTAGAGCATCATTCACCTGACAAGCGTGTTTTAGGACTGTCGGGGAACCACACATGAACAGAGAGGAAGGGCAAAATCTGCGCAGAAAAGCCCCAACACACACCCAGGGATTCAAACCAGAAACTGCCCTAACCACTGCAGCGCCACACAGCTCTATACTAACATGCTGTGATTTGTTATTGCTGGTATGAACAGTGAACAAAAGCTAATGGCTAAACTAATTTTGACTCGTGTCTGGAACACAGTCAACTCAAATGTGAAGTGATTCCTACCTCAGGCATCCTGCTCTCAAGTTGAGCAAAACAGAGTATAGTTGATGCTCTAGATGCTGGTTTGACCTCCAAAACTACAACCATTCAGTGCATGTTATACCTTCCCCTTCACCATCACATTTTCTGCTTCTCCTCAGCTGTTTGTTCATGAAAGACGCAAAAAAATCTGAAGAACCTGCATGAGGAAAATCAATAAATGTCTCTCTCAATTCTGCTTTTTTGTACGACGTGATAATATGAAAGCCTGTCTCACATTTGCATTCATTTCATATCTTTTATAACTGATTTTGTTATGAAATGATAACCACAATATGTCTCTACCAACTCAAGCTTGTATCCAGATGTTTGGAAGCAGACTAAGCCCTCCTGGTTATCAGTTTTTCCAGCTGTCTAATGACGGCCAAACTGGTCAGTGTATTTCGTTAGTTTGTTTTGATTGAAACCGCTCAGGTCAGATGTCGAAGTACCCTCAAAGTCGCCTTATTACCACATGACATGAACCTTCATCTTCCAAGCTCGGTGTCATTATTTCTTTCCACTTGTGACTCTGTATAAATTGGCAGGAGAGCATGCTATATTTTCCCTTCCTACCACGGGTACTTGGCCTCCCCTCATCCATGATACTCAATTCTCCGTCTCCTTGACAACCCTGCTCATCATTAGGCGGAGTGATGGGAGTGCCGCTCCGAATCAAGTCCATCCTCCTCTACGGGCAATCATGAGTGTCAGAGTGGCAGCTATACCATTGCTCATTCTGATGCATGCGAAAGTGCCGCCATCTTGATGCGCTGATGAAATCCAGGAGAGCATTTTATACTGAAAAATCATTGACTTTTTACACATTCAGTATTGATTTAAAGCTGTTTTTTTTCCTTTCACTGATACTAAAACCACACTGAACATGCAAACACACACATACTAAAAAACAAACAGGTTTTTTAAGAGAGCCTGGGATTAAAAGGAGAAAACCCAATGAGCCTGTGCTCCTCATGACCCCTCCAATCCTGCACCGAGAAAGTCAGAAAAGAGAAAAGATGAGCGACAGACTGCTGAGCTGGGCTCCACCGACACTTCACAACTCCTCTTTCCTGAGAGGGGGGAAAACGCTCACCGCCTCTTTCAACACCACACAAAGAGAAAGGGAAAGTAAAAGAGGATTATAAAAAAGAGGGGATGTTGAAAAGGAAAAAATCTGGCAGTGCTTTCTGTGTTTGGCATTCAGGTCAATGACGGACGGGATTCAGCCAATAGGAGACATTTCCCCCCTCCTCCCGCGCTCTACTCCACTCTGGTGTTTGCAGTAGTTTCTTCGAACAGGAAGGAGGACTGCTTAACTCCCTACTGGCATTCAATGTTTGAATAACAGACTGAAACATGAGGAGGCCGGACTACTGCTGCAGCCTCTGTGGACAAAACGCTGTGATTTTAAGTGGCCTCGTGTTCATCTTCCTTCAGTTATCTGTCTCCAGCTTTTAACACAAGCCAAAGCTGAATGAGCAGCCTTTTTAACATGCAGACACTCTTTGGGATTTTTCCAAACATGTGGTGATGGCTTCATTGCAAAACTTGCATCATGTCACAACCTCAACAAGCTCACTCACATAAAGACAGACCATTTCCCATCTGTCACGAGCTCCCAGCCCTAAACTCAGGCTGTGGTTTGTGACATGCGCTTATCTCCCTCTTTGTGATGAGGTTTGTGGTCGCGCTTCTCTTCGGCGGAGAAAAATCAAAGTCGTGCACATGGATGCCTTCAACGATATAAAAAAAAAAAAAACCCTCAAAATTCAAACTGCACAACGACGTCTCAAAAAGCGACACCAGGAGGGTTTCTGGCTGTTGGCTCAAAATAGGATGGAGAAAAAGGCACTCTCAGACCACACATATAGAGCCGGGGCTGCTATCTCCACACCATATGACTGCACATCTGAGGACAGAGGGGGCCTCTGTATCAAACTCAACTATTCCAACAGAGGGACGAAGCAGAGTCGAAACCCGAGGGCTAAAATGACCCAACACAGTCTGATCTGCAGACCCTCTGGATAAAACGTCATCTTAAACCTGTCAGGACTTATTTTTGGGTAGAAACAGAAACACGATACCAAGAATTAAAAGCTCTTGTTGAAGCTCATTATCAATTATTCAAAGAAATTAGGTTCTTTAGCATACACACAGACTCCTGAAGACTCAACAGCTGGTGGCTGAGCCTGCATGTTTTTGTTTAGTTTATATTTTGTTTCTGACTCAGTAACTCTGTGGTCCACTAATGTCAGTGTGAGAGATGAAAGTGAAGTTAAAGCTCCTGAGTGGAACTTGTGGTTAATGTCCTCTCGGCTTCTATTGTCCTCTACAGGGACAGGTATTGTCTGACAGGAAAGCTCATCCTGCTGACATTTAACAGTCACATTTATGATTTGTTGTGAATACCAAAAGTGTAAAGTGCTGCTCTGTTGACACCAAAAAACTCCTGAATAAAGTTATAATATTGTAATTAATAGACCTGAACACTTAACACTTAGCTGATTTTCAGAAAGAGCTCTTTAAAATCAGAAGGCAAATAATCGTAGATCAAGTTCTTACAGCACCCTTTTTTCTATAATTTTCATTTCATTTTACACATTTTAAGAAAAATGTTAGTCATGAATTATTTGAGTTTTACAGTTTAAAAGACCGACTGAAAAGTAGTAAAGAGCCTCAATCACTTAATTTCACAGCTGTAGACTCTCTGACTTCAGCATTCGCCTTGACCAAAGATATAAAAAAATAAATAAACTAACCACTTAATACTTCTCAGTTAAATATTTCCTCATGTCTGTATCTTTCAAGCTCAGTACTCCCTATTCAAAAAAGGTCTACTTTAAATAGAGGATATCTGTTTAGCTCACAGATTCAGTATCACAGTTCAGTTTGGTTTATGGATGGACCAAAACACTCAGACTCTAACTCTCATAACAGTTTTAAGGAGACTGAGCAGGGCCCATGTTGCTGCAATGACAAGCACCCTTATCAGTGCAGCAAAATTAGGATGACCATGTTCTGAATCCCCAAAGAGAGGACACGACTACGCAGGGCGGAGTCACGGATTTTTTTGTGTTTTTTACGTGCTTCTATCTCAGTAAGTCCACGTGACACAAGCTCAAAACTTCCAAACAAAACCCCGGACATTTGAAGGACTTTATAAACTCCCCTGGACAAGGCCGGACGGGCCGGACAGCCCTCAAAAAACAGAACATGTCTGGGGAAAGGAGTCCGTATGGTCATCTTATGCAAAATCAATTAGTTTGTCTTTGAGCTCTGAAGCCTCCACCCCTTTCTTCCCTCACTCACACTCTGGCGTCTTTCTCATGCTTGTATTAGTTTTTAACAGTGAAAGCTAGTCACAGCTTGTCATTGCACACGCTGATGATAAACTTTCCATCAATCTAAGGATCACACATCATCCAATCCATAAAAGGTGGTCATGGACTAACCATGATCTGCCACACCACTTCACTAAGTATTTCGTCAGGAGTTCTAGAGTTAAGCCGTTTATATGCTGACGACATTATGCTTTATTTATACAAACGAATCATGCCATGCAAATGTCCTCGTGACTTGCTGTCCAAAGGTGCAAAGGAGTCAATCAGGTATGAACAAGAACTTTAACAAGTGTCCAGTTAGAGTTTTATCTCATCTTCAGTCAATTCAGCTGTGGCTGCTTAACAGTAAAAACACCTGACCGTTCCTGTGAGTCTCATGAGGACTGAAAGTTGAGAAATCACAACACAGATGGCACTGACCTCACAGAGGACAGGACATCTTCAAAGCACCAGATTATAGCAGGCATATCGACTCATACTCAAAACTGTTACTGTAGGATCAGCTAATGTATTATCTGCGTTATACTTGTTACTGGAGTCACCAAAAACCATAAAAACCAACAAAGAAAAAAGCGCAAAGCAAGAAATTCCACTATGCATTACAAACACAAATGGATTAAAATGTGTTTATTGTACTGAATATGAGCGCTCACATGTGCTAGAAACTTAAATTAAAGGCCTTGTTAGTTGTATAATTTTGTTGACATTTTGTGAACTCCCCTTTGATAATAAAGACTGTATAATTCAGAGACATATAGATATCATATCTCTTAAATTATATTTTAATCAAAAACAATAACAAAGGGCCGACCAAACGCTTGTGCATATTTTTAAACAACTACCCAATGATTTAATGGTCACAAAAAACCCCTCTTTAAAATGTTGTGTCACTATAAGTTCCCTTCCTCCTGAACACTAAACTGAATTTGATCAGACAAAAGCCACCATTGTATATTCAAATCTTAAATCAAGAGATTACTTGGCAAATAATTTGATAAACTGCTTTTTTGTTTGTTTCAGCCCCATTGTTCAAAATCTGAGATTGGCTAGTATATTGTGTAGTCAGGAAAGCACTTTCTGAAACAGTGTTGTGTAAGTTGTTGAGTCATGTTACGGACTGAAGCAACAACACTGCACATTTTCACACTCCCAGACTCAGAGCAATAAATCTCAACTTCCAGAATTGACCGATGATGACAGAAATGTGGAATTCCCTTCTTTCTTCAAGCGGACCCTCCTCCCCCATCCTCTCCCATCCTTCCTTTATAAGCACTTTTTCACATGTCACTTTCATTTTCGGTCATTGCTTCAACCCTCCTCCCCTGAGTGAAGCCAACATTGTTGAGAGGGTCTCCATGACAACGGTCGCTGGGTGGTCCCATTTTCTCTGTCAGGGGTGTTCCCCAAAGACTCTCACTTTTATCCCCCCACACTTCGATTTTCAATAATTCTTTGCAGAGGATGAGATCTCTCTCTGACGCCTTGAACATCAAGTTCTTTTTCCACTGTTTCGGTGGAAAAAAAAAGCAGATCAGTAAGTTTTCGTAAAATCAGAGGGCACTACAGTTAAAGGAGTGTGTTTGAAGTGATATCATTGATAGAAATGACTTATCAGCACGTCAAATTCACTCAAGAATATGAATTTAGCACCTTAATCTGACAGCAGATTGATGTCCCAACTGAAGGGTGTGAATGTGCATTAACACTGCTATTGAATCCCCGCATATAACACATTATCTCTGCAGACAGATGGTAGGTATTGATGATTTTTTCCCCTGTTTTTAAACCTTCAGTTCCTGATTTGTGAGGGAGTATATAAAGCTTGCTGCGTAAAGAGTACATGCTAATTTAAAGCACAGAGCGGAGCATCATGTTGATTTTGATGTGATTATTCCATCATTATGCTGGGTAAACAGCAGAATCCCTGCTGCACTGAGCTCTCGCTGTATTCCTTTTTTTCCCTCCTCCTCTTAAGCCATAAATAGCAAACTTCAAACTTTGGTTATTTACTCCTTCATGCGCACTTTGCCTCCTTCTGAAACAGTGCGTTGCTTGTTCACTCTGCACACCTCCTTGCACTCCTAACACATGATGAGATGTCTCTGTGAGCAGCCTGTTCTTTGTAAAACACAAACTTCTCCACAAAACCCCTCTCTGACTCAGGCTCTAATTTGTTTGCCATGTTTTCTTTGTTTCTTTTTTCTACTTGAATGTAGCTCGGGTTCATCGGGGAAAAAGGAAAGACCAGTCTCTGTGTTTTTCACTCTCTCTGTGACAGCCTGGTATCTGTGTCTCCTGGCACAACAACAAAAGGCGAGCACTGTAAAGCACAGCGGGCCAAATGTAGTGAACACAGCTTTGATGTACAATGCTGCTAGTTTTCTTTTGACTGGATGAGACAGAAAAACCTGAGGTGATGTTGTGTTTGTGTCTGACAGTGAGGGAAAGGGGGAGATAAAGAGATATATGAGCTATGTGGGTGAGAAACAGGTCACTTTAGTCCAAAGTCAAACAACAAAGGTACGGCATTCGCTCCATGAAATAACAATCTTCCCATAAAACAGTACTAGTCGGTACATTTCTTATTGATTCCACATAAAATGACTGAAAAAGGACTTTTTTAACCTAAAAGGACAGCGAAGTGAAAGGCAATTTCATGGTTTCTGCGAAATAAGCGTTATTAGTGCACAAAACTAAAAAGTCTGCAAAGAACTGGAGAAAAAACT